AAGCTTGTAGTACAGTTTGCCTATTCTGAGTAATTCAGTCAGGTCTTGACACTGAGGGTGGTATCACTTCTCACTGCCACGCAGGACAGAGGTTCATACACAAAGAAATACATCATATTCATTAACAGTATATATATATATATATATATATATATATATATATATATATATATATATATATATATATATATATATACAAGAAGAAGAAAACACAGTTCCCAAGCGCTTTCGTGTAATTCACATCTTTAGGGTGAGTACAGACTAGTCTGTACTCACCTAAACATATATATATATATATATATATATATATATCAGATTCATGTGGGTATTTTTTTTTTTTATTAGGCACTCCCCTACATCCTTGTGTAAGGTGAAGCGCAGAAGCGTTTACAGTGCCCAACAGGGAAGCATGCTAAGTTCATGCTTGCCTTTATGTCTCATGAGTTAAGGGCGTAGAAGCCTGAAGAGTCAAGGGCATATAAGCCTGAAGAGTCAATGGTTTATGTCATCAAGTTATTGGAAGCTCCAACAATTTGTTCCTGAATACGAATTCGCAACTTTCGACTTACAATAGGTACCTACTTTACTGCAAGGTGAACAGGGACTAATGGGGGTTAGAAAGTATGTCCAAACAACTTCCACCGGCCCGGGAATCGAACTCGTGACATCTCGCTTGTGAAGGCAAGAGCGGTACCACTCTACCACCAGCACCCTATGTAGGTATTGTCACTGTTCACTGCCATTTAGGACAGAGGTTCGTACACAAAGAAATGCATCATATTCATTGACACTATATACTGTATAGGTCAGATTCATGTGGGTAATGTCACTGTTCACTGCCATGCAGGACAGAGGTTCGTACACAAAGAGGGAAATACATCATATTCGTTAGCAGTATATATAGGTCAGTGGTTCATATACATTGGAGTCATATTCTAATTGAAGACTAATCAGTTTAGGCTAGCAAATTTGGGATAAACAGCAAGAATGTCCTCAAGCACCCCAGCTGGGGAATAGGAGTAACCTGCAATAACTGGGGCACTCGGGTGAAACAGGTGATAGTTATGTTGTCATTCATGGGTCACTGTATCACTGTTCACCACCAAGACATTTACTTATAACAAATCAACTTTTCTCAATAAGGGGAAGGCTGAATTATGACACTTCAATGGTTACTGTATTTATTGAACGCTTTCTATTAAGATTGACAATTATACTTCAAACCAATAGCCCTATTTTCCTAGCTAGTTAAACGGGAGTCACACAAGTCACAATACATTTCGTGAAACGGATAAAACCTTAAGTGTACTTACATACTGTAAATAACATATACCCCGCCATAATGGGAAGCTGACCTCACACATCTGTACGCTGTCGTACAGGGTGTTATGGCGGGTAATCTTTGTTTAGGCAGAATTTTCATGTATTTCCTCTAAATCATGACAATTTACTCTAAAAAAAGTCACTGTTACACTGTCATGTTTGTTTGAGCCGTCATGTCTGCTTGTTCCGTCATGTCTGCTTGTGCCGTCATGTCTGCTTGTGCCATCATGCCTGTTTCTGCCGTCATGTCTGCTTGTGCCATCATTTCTGCTTGTGCCGTCATGTCTGCTTGTGCCATCATGTCTGCTTGTGCCATCATGTCTGCTTGTGATATCATGTCTACTTCTGCTATCATGTCTGCTTCTGCTATCATATCTGCTTCTGCTATCATGTCTGCTTTAGCTGTCGTGACCTGTACATGGCTTTCATCGACCTAACCAAGGCCTTCGACTCGGTCAACAGGGAAGCCCTCTGGTGGACCCTCAGCCGTTTTGGCTGCCCTCCAAAATTCATCGCCATTGTGAGGCAACTCCACGACGGCATGAACGGCAGTGTCCTACACAACGGCACCCAGTCTGAGTTCTTCCCCATCCAAACGGGGATTAAACAAGGGTGTGTACTGGCACCAACTCTCTTTTCCATTTTCTTGGCTGCCTTCCTTACTCGTGCCAGTGCCAATTTAGCCGGCAGGGTGGACATCGAATACCGGGTGAAGGGTATTTTCGACATTAGACGACTCCGGGCAAGAACAAAGGTGTCGGCAGTTTCCATTACCGAACTTCAGTATGCAGACGACCTCACCCTTGTTGCTCACACTGAACACGACCTACAGGAGATCCTAAACATCTACGCAGATGCTTATGCGCACTTTGGCCTTGAGGTGAATTTACGTAAGACTCAGATTCTCTTTCAACCTACCCCAAGTTTAGACACACCTCCACCATCCATCCATCCTGCTTAACGGTACTACCCTCTCTAATGTTACCCACTTTCGGTATCTCGGCTCCCACCTGTCCACCAACTCAGACATTGATGAAGAGATTCAGCACCGGATCAGATGTGCATCTCAAGCTTTTGGCGGACTCCGAAACCTTGTCTTCAGCTGTAGGGAGCGGAAATTATCCACAAAGCCGCATGTACAGTATATCGAGTAGTGGTCCTCCCCACCCTCCTATATGGCAGTGAGACATGGGTCACACACAGGTAGCACCTCAAGGCACTTGAAAACTTTCACCAATTTAGTCTACGTTCCCTCCTCCGAGTTTGCTGGGAAAACAAGAGAACAAATGCCAGTATTCTTGCTGACACCAACTGTAGGAGCATCGAGGCTACCATTATCCATGAACAGCTACGCTGGACTGGCCATGTTACCTACTTGGGCGACAGTAGACTGCCATGGCAGCTACTTTGCAGGCACCTAACGAATCAGTTATGCAAAGTCGAAATTAAAAACGCGAGTACGAGTACCAGACCTGATGCTTGAAGATGGTAGTTAGGCAGATCCTGACTAGGATAAAGCTGAGGCATTAAACAGCTTCTTTTCCTCGGTGTTCACAAGTGAGAATGCGATTAACCTTCCTGCGTTTGAGGAGAGACGGTTCGATACGTCACTAACCCACATTGTGTTCACAGAAGAGGGTATTAGATATAAACTGTCAAAGCTAAAGGTCCATAAGAGTCCTGGCCCTGATATGGTGCATCCCAGAGTGCTAAGAGAGTTGTGTAACGAGCTTGCTGAGCCCCTGAAGATCCTGTTCTGTAAATGCCTGGATGAACAAAAGGTCCCCAGTGATTGGAAAATGGCTCATGTGAGTCCTATCTTCAAGAAGGGCGATCGTCACTCCACGAACAACTATAGACCGGTGAGCCTGACCAGCATAATATAAAAGTACTTGAGAGTATTATTAGAGATGCCGCAATGGAACATCTAATACGAAACAACCTTGTAAAGGATTGCCAACACGGTTTTATGTCGGGGCGCTTCTGCTTAACGCAATTGCTCTAGGTATTGGATATGTGAACCCATAATCTGGAACGGGGTGATAATATCGACAATATATACCTAGATTTTGCCAAGGCTTTCGACAGTGTACCCCAGGAAAGGCTGAAAATCAAACTAGAAGGGTACGGAATTCTGGGAAATGTCCTAGCGTGGATAGAAGACTTTCAACATGACCACAAGCGGTGTGTGGTGATTAATGGCACGAAATCATCATCCGTACCTGTCACAAGCGGGGTACCACATGGCAGTGTATTGGGTCCGCTGTTGTTTGTTTGTTTCATAAATGACAAGCCTGATGTTGTACACCCCTCCATACAAATGTTTGCCGATGACACCAAGTTATATCGGGAAATCGAGAACCAAGCGCACTGTGAAGAGCTGCTGGAGGATCTCTGTGAACTCCAAGAATGGTCAAAGAAGTGGCTGCTGAGATTCAATGTCACGAAGTGTAAGAGGATGCAGACGGGTCATACAAACGATAAAGAGGCGTATCATATGTCCCAACGGGATGAAGAAACCACTATTTGAGACTGAATGTGAGAAGGACCTAGGTGTGTATGTTGACAATGAGCTGAAGTTTTCGGGCCATTGCGAGAAGGTAAATCAGGCAAATAAATTATTGGGTCTTATAAGAAGGTTGTTCAGCTATCTAGACGGTCCATCCCTCGTAACGATCTTCAAGAGTGAAGTGCTTCCCCATCTGAAGTAATGTCACCCGTCTGGTCCCCGAGATATACTAGAGACTGTCAGTTGGTTGAAAATGTTCAAAAGAGGGCCACCAGACTGGTGCCTGCACTTCAACACCTCAACTACCCTGAGAGATTGGAGCGCTTGAACTTGCCTAGCTTATACTACAGACGAGCAAGGGGCGACCTAATTGAGGTGTATAAGCATCTCAAGGGGCACTACTCAGTCGAGTGTCATTACTTGGAGCTGGCGGACGCTCGTCCCACAAGGGGTCACAGCTCAAGATTGAAGAAGCCGCAGGTCCAGAAAACTGTAAGGGCAAACTTTTTCGGAGTGAGTGTTGTGAACTCTTGGAACAATCTGCCAGAAAGCGTTGTGACGGCACCGGGTGTTAGTTCTTTCAAGACCAGAATTGACCAACACTGGAGCAGGTTCAGGTACATTCAGGAGCCGTTGCATGCCCAGTACCTGCCAACAGTGCGTAACAGAGAGTCCGTACATGACGAGCCGATCAGTGGTGAAGAGGATAAAGGTAAAGTAAACGTAACGCCTGCGGGCGATACCCCACATCGTAACGCTTGGAGGAGCACCACAAGAAGGTGTCAATACTTTTAAGTTAGCCCGACCGCAAACCGAGGCAGACAAGTGCCAACGCCCCTCCCGCACTAGATGCAGCCCTCCACATGTGGAATGAATGTGGACAACCCTGCGGGTCCCGTATCGGCCTCTTTAGTCACCTCAAAACTCACCAACCTTGGTGACATTCCTAATAGTTCATATCATTGTATCATTGCTGTATGATCGTCGTACTCGATTCCAAGTGACAGCAAAATAGTAGTAGTAGTAGTAGTGTGTGTGTGTGTGTGTGCGTGTGTCAAATAGTACATGATTATAGGGGTAGGCAGCGCTAGGGTGGTGGTGGGCGTGGAGACAGGCAGTGGGAGGGTGGTGGTGGTGGTGGTAGTGGTGGTGGTGGTGGAGGCAGGCCCTGGGGAGCTGGTGCTGGTGGGTGAGCAGGTAGTAGTGATTGTGCCCACCTGAGGTTGACATCTACTGTACATCATCAGTCTCTCAGGTAAGATTTTTCACGCTCAGTACCACATGCTCAAGCTCACACACACACACACACACACACACACACACACACACACACACACACACACATGCAGAAATGCACACATACACACACACTACATAACACCTGGTATTAATTACTCACCTTTGACACGACTCTAAATATAAGAGGGAGGTGTGATGATGAGCGAAGTTGAGGAGCAGTAGTGAGGTGTGAGAGCCACGGTCTAGTGAATGGTGGTAGTGCGTCACTAGGAAGATTAGTTGTACCTTTACCTGCCTACACCACCGCCGCTTGACTAAAATTGCAACTAACGTTTAACCTGTTCTTGATTACATTTCTTGCGTCTTTCTTCCATTTTCAATAACATTAAAATTTCTATCGTCACCGACCGATGGCCACAAGTAATGTTTGGTGGTGATAAGGTGTGGTGGTGGTAGCGGCATTCAAATAATTTTGGATGACGTTCACTCATGTGTCCTGTCCAAAAGGTCGGAGGGTTGCAGCTGTTATGCAGTCTGCCTCTGACAAATTTGGTGTCTACTCAACAAATCTCCATAAAGTTATTATGTATAGTTTCCTACTCTATCATGAAGGTGTACTGTATAACACATTCTTGCTTAGGACTCTCGGATGTGTTGCTAATCCAAGTTATGTTAGGCGTATATATATATATATATATATATATATATATATATATATATATATATATATATATATATATATATATATATATATATATATATATATATATATATATATATATATATATATATATATATATATATATATATATATATATATATATATATATATATTAAGACTACCTTATATAATCGTATTCTTTCAGTGACAGGGTAAGGAATTTTTAACGTAAGTGAAAAAGACCATGTTTTGTTCTCAGACAATGTCGCACGCTGACAAAACCCGCCGCTGGGTCGATTGTATTGTGTCCAACGAGAAAAAGTAAATCCGTTTTTACCACAAATTTAAATCTTATGGCTCACTAATAAAGTTGGAGTACAATTATTCAATACAAAATAACGGATGTTAGAACTGTCGTATTGAACCATGTTTTAAAGGTTGTTGTATTCATGGTCATGGCTTAACATGAAGGTCACTTAATAAATAATGGGTGAAGACCTGAATTGTACTGAGACATGCAAATTCAAATGACCACATCTGTTTACCTTTTTAGGATAAAAGTCAGTGGAAAAAAAAAGGTTTACATGTCTCAAGTTTGTGAAATACACTCCTACCATTCTGTGATGCTGTTTGAAAATATATCTTTTGAGAAACAAACTATATTTTTTACTTGGTTTAAGCAGGCATAACTTGCTGTGTACCGTTGCTCTCCTGTGAAGTTCAAGAAGCTACAGACCCACACCAGGGTACCGGTGAATACGTTAGTCATAGCTAAATTGCTGCTCATAACTTGAAGTGGTTTGATAAAGAAGTCATCAGATGGTAGATGATTTCACTCTTAAAGTAACTTATATTTGTAGCGGTAAGTCACATTGAAGACGAGCGCCAAAAAAACATTACAACATTTGCGTTATGTTGTGAGTACAGGTCCCATTATGTTTTCATTGTTAAAATAACAACATTGTTTGTGTTAAGGTGTGCCTAGCAAGCCACCTAACCTTACCCACCTATATTTTACACTTGTCATAATGGAACTTAAATCTTACAACCTGAACCAACCTATTTATTTAAGGTTCATCCATGGTTAAATAGTATTATTGAAAGACGGTTGTAAATATGAATAATGGAAACAGCGGCTTAGTATACAGGATAATACTGCTTCCCATATAATAAGCTGTTTATTTCTCTCAGTAAGCTTATATCCCGTTACATATCTTATTCCAAGTAAGTGATATGTTTTTTATCCGCAGACTTAAACTTTTTCTAATACTATAAAACCTTGGGTATATCAAAATAGAATTTAAGGTGGAAATATTTGTTCACATGGCCTATTGGAATACTATGTTACCAAACAGAGAGGTACTACCGCTTAGGAAGATAATGGAAGCATAATGTGTTGTCGAATGGAAGACCCTGCTGCTATATGGCATCACGAAAATTGTGACCAAGTCCCAAGTTGTTGAACTGACTGATTTTCTACCTCATTTACACACAATTGCAGGGGTCTCAATTGTTTCTCTGACAAGACAATATATATACAGTATATACCTGTATATATATATATATATATATATATATATATATATATATATATATATATATATATATATATATATATATATATATATATATATGCAGGTAAATCACTGTGGTTGCGCGTGATCTAAGTATATGTTAACCACAAGGATATATATATATATATATATATATATATATATATATATATATATATATATATATATATATATATATATATATATATATATATATATATATATATTATATATTTTTTTTTCCCCCCTCCAGTGACCTGTCAAGATGGGCTAAATACACAAAAACCCCCAGCCTACTCGAGGGTCGAGATCTGGTGCCACCATCTGATAATTTTGTCACAACAAAAGGATGTGCACACAATGGTTGACGTAAGATGTACACACATACTTCACCCAAGATATACACACAGTAGTTGATCAAAGATGTATATCACATATAAATAGACCAGGATGTACGCACAATACTTGACCAAGGATGTGCACACAGTAGTTAACCCAAGATGTACTGTACACACGCACTTGTTCCAGGATGTATAGACAATAGGTGACTGACTCAGGATGTACAGTTTTGTACACACATATGACTTATTAAGATGTACACACAACAGGCTACTTAGGATGTACACACATGTGACTTATTAAGATGTACACACAACAGGCTACTTAGGATGTACACACATGTGACTTATTAAGATGTACACACAACAGGCGACTCAGGATGTACACACAACTGGCGACTCAGGATGTACACACAACAGGTGACTCAGGATAATAATAATAATAATAATAATAAACGGTTTATTGAAAAAGTTCTGCAGCCCGAAGGTTGAAAATATACATTGGACATAAATGACTTATTACATACATTGGTGGTTTAACAAAAGCCTTCATTAGAGAAAGGTAAAGGAACATATAGTGAACATACAGATTAATGTAGGTGTAGTAACTTCCTCCCAGATGGTGTTAGGAGGGACCTCACGTGGTGTAGTAGTTCCCTCCCAGATGGTGTTATGAGGGACCTCACGTGGTGTAGTTATTCCTTCACAGATGGTGTGGTGACTCAGGGTGTACAAACAACAGGTGACTTGCGATGTACACACAACAGGTGACTCAGGATGTACACACAACAGGCGACTCAGGATGTACACACAACAGGCGACTCAGGATGTACACACAACAGGTGACTTAGGATGTACACACAACAGGTGACTCAGGTTGTACACACAACAGGCGACTCAGGATGTACACACAACAGACGACTCAGGATGTACACACAACAGGTGACACAGGATGTACACACAACAGGTGACTCAGGGTGTACACACAACTGGCGAGACAGGATGTACACACAACAGGTGACTCAGGATGTACACACAACAGGTGACTCAGGATGTACACAACAGTGACTCAGGATGTACACACAACAGGTGACTCAGGATGTACACACAACAGACGACTCAGGATGTACACACAACTGGCGACTCAGGATGTACACACAACAGGTGACTCAGGGTGTACACACAACAGATGACTCAGGATGTGTACACACAACAGGTGACTCAGGATGTACACACAACTGGCGAGAACAGGATGTACACACAACAGGTGACTCAGGGTGTACACACAACAGATGACTCAGGATGTACACACAACAGGTGACTCAGGATGTACACACAACAGGTGACTCAGGATGTACACACAACAGGCGACTCAGGATGTACACACAACAGGTGACACAGGATGTACACACAACAGGTGACTCAGGTTGTACACACAACAGGTGACTCAGGATGTACACACAACAGACGACTCAGGATGTACACACAACAGGTGACTTAGGATGTACACACAACGGGTGACACAGGATGTACACACAACAGGTGACTCAGGGTGTACACACAACTGGCGAGACAGGATGTACACACAACAGGTGACTCAGGATGTACACACAACAGGTGACTCAGGGTGTACACACAACAGATGACTCAGGATGTACACACAACAGGTGACTCAGGATGTACACACAACAGGTGACACAGGATGTACACACAACAGGTGACTTAGGATGTACACACAACAGGTGACTCAGGATGTACACACAACAGGTGACTCAGGATGTACACACAACAGGTGACTCAGGATGTACACACAACAGACGACTCAGGATGTACACACAACAGGTGACTTAGGATGTACACACAACAGATGACTTAGGATGTACACACAACAGGCGACTCAGGGTGTACACACAACTGGCAGACAGGATGTACATGGCAGGTGAGCACAGGATGTACACACACAACAGGTGACTCAGGTTGTACACACAACAGGTGACTCCAGGATAACACACACAACAGACGACCAGGATGTATGTACACACAACAGGTGACTTAGGATGTACACACAACGGGTGACTGGGATGTACACACAACAGGTGACTCAGGGTGTACACACAACTGGCGAGACAGGATGTACACACAACAGGTGACTCAGGATGTACACACAACAGGTGACTCAGGATGTACACACAACAGATGACTCAGGATGTACACACAACAGGTGACTCAGGATGTACACACAACAGGTGACTCAGGATGTACACACAACAGGCGACTCAGGATGTACACACAACAGGTGACTCAGGGTGTACACACAACAGATGACTCAGGATGTACACACAACAGGTGACTCAGGATGTACACACAACAGGTGACTCAGGATGTACACACAACAGGCGACTCAGGATGTACACACAACAGGTGACACAGGATGTACACACAACAGGTGACTCAGGTTGTACACACAACAGGTGATTCAGGATGTACACACAACAGACGACTCAGGATGTACACACAACAGGTGACTTAGGATGTACACACAACAGATGACTTAGGATGTACACACAACAGGCGACTCAGGATGTACACACAACAGGTGACTCAGGGTGTACACACAACAGATGACTCAGGATGTACACACAACAGGCGACTCAGGATGTACACACAACAGGTGACTCAGGGTGTACACACAACAGATGACTCAGGATGTACACACAACAGGTGACTCAGGATGTACACACAACAGGTGACTCAGGATGTACACACAACAGGCGACTCAGGATGTACACACAACAGGTGACTCATTATGTACGCAACTGGACAACCACTTTATACTTCATATATATATATATATATATATATATATATATATATATATATATATATATATATATATATATATATATATATATATATATATATATATATATATCAAAATAACTGCTGATAGATGGATCCTCAGGCGTACAGTCCAGTCCTCACACTGATAGCAGGTGTTCCTACACTGTCGTCTATACACCCTATCATACCAAGACGCAAGATTGTTTGATATTATGTTCACTTAAGAGGCGAGGAAAATATGTCACTGAAAGCAGGCAATGTACAGTCCTCAGTTTGGGTAATAATAACACTAAAGGTGGCCAGATATAAACAGAGTACTGTACATGGTAATAATCACAAATAATCTATTGTGAGTGAAGAATGGTGATTGCTAACTTCAATATGGAAGGACAATGCTAACATTCTTGAAAAATATTCCTAATGCCTTGTGTAGAACAATATAGGACGGCTATGTCACTAAGGTAATATATTGCATGTTATTTAATAAAGTCTAGAAAATTATTGCTTGCATGTTTTTATACAGGAAATATAAGTGACATCAGTGAATAATATTCTTACTCCCAGGAAAACAGTAACTTCACATTTTGATAAACTTTCAGCGAGTTTGATTGTGGTGGTGAGCAGCAGCACCCCAGGATGTGGTGGATGGTGGGTGTTGGGTTAGTAGGATTGTTTCTGGCAGCTCAAGCATGGAGGGCACGAACGTGTCACGAGGTGGAAATAAGTGGTCACAGACGGGTAGTGGTGATCACAGGGTGTGACAGCGGGATCGGCTACAGCGTAGCTATGAGCGCCCGTGCCTGGGGTTGGACGGTGGTAGCCACCTGCCTGTCACCTGACGGGGAGGGTGCCGCACACCTCCGCGAGGCTGGTGTCCACATCGTCATCGTTGACCTCACCCAAACACACACACTTGCACACCTCCTCCATACTATACAACGCCTCAAGATGAACAACCAAGGTAACTCCATATTAATTGTTTAACATTACAGCCTGTATTTTCATTACATTTTTCGAATTAATTACATGAGATCATCATTCATATATTTACATTAATTACCTAATGGTCACCCAAGAGCTATTTTGAAGCCCTGTACTGTTTTTATTCTATGGCTTGTGCTGGTAGACCGCTTTATATAGGTCTACCACCCACTGCGTGAAGAACTATTTTCTTTTGTTCGTTCTGCATGATAACTTGGCGAGTTTGTAGTTTTGTCCCTTCGTGTTGGTGGTGCGTGATATAAAGAAGTTGCTCGGGTTCACGTTTTCCATCTCTAGCTTTTGAATGTTTCAGTGAGGTCGGCCCCATTGTGCCTTTTCCGAAGGGTTGTTAGTCCTAAGGCCTTCAGTCTACTTGGATAATCGAGATGACATACAGTAGTTCCGGAATCATCTTAGTCTCTCCGTGTTGCACCTTTTCTAGGGATGTTAGGTCCTTCTGTCATATATGTGCCATAAATCAAAAGAACGTTCTGGTACTTAATTTTTTTCTTCTCTTATTGAAAATACCGGAATTCTTTCTGAAAAGTTAAAAAAGTAGACTGCTTTCGAGGAAGGTGAAAACACGCGGTATGAACAGTGACCTTGAACTTTGACTTTAGAATCATAACATATATATATATATATATATATATATATATATATATATATACCTCACTAGTTGGGAATCGAACCTTGCACCTCTGCGTGTGATCGGGGATCGCTACCGCCGCGCCACAAGGACAACAAACTCATTATAGGCCTTGTTATATTCCACACAAAGCCTGTTTGTTCAACGTGCTTGTTAAGCTCCGTGAACCTTCATTGGGAATTGCCCGTGTGAACTATGTGATAGGAGTAGCATTTTACCGAATCCAGCTAGGAAACACTAGGCTACATATATATCTCATCAATTCATATATATATATATATATATATATATATATATATATATATATATATATATATATATATATATATATATATATATATATAATATATATATATATATATATATATATATATATATATATATATATATATATATATATATATATATATATATATATATATATATATATATATATATATATATATATATATATATATACAGTATATATAAAATACTCGGGAGAAGCGAATACGTATGATGAATAACAGAACCAACATAATATGTATAAACAGCAACATACTGCATGTATTTGGTAAAGTTTTGACAATATCTCTTGTCATCTGACCTAAAACATGAAATAACATGCAATAGCATCAAAACTCAATATGATAAATAAAATTAAATACAGCATTGTGTATAGTATATAAAGTGCCTTACGAAAAAAAATAACACTGGACATTAACACATTCATTTATTAAATGCTAAAATTCACTACATTTAATACTACACAGCATAAACGCAGAGTAGCAGAATCTTAGAACCTAATACCAAACAAAGATGAATGCACAAAGATAATAATCAAGTACAGTACGTCACAATTTAGGGTGTGTCAATTTAGGGGGTGAACTGGCTAAATTGAAAATCGAGTAATTTGGTAGCAATTTATTGTAGTCTTTAAGCATGCAAAACAATATTCTGGCATAAATTTTTTTTTATAATAAGTCCTACCTACATCAAATGGATTTTTAAATGTACATATTTGTGAATTTATAACATAACCAGCGTTTGCACACATGTTACTGTTTCAAGTTTCAAATTATTATATTTTATTATCCGTAGTCTATTTGAAAGTAACCAATGCCTTCATACTCTCTTTGCTTTGGTTTCTTGTCATCAGTAGTCTGCTTGCTATTTGTGCTTTGATGTAACCTTCTCGCCTCTCGTGGCTGTAAACATGGCCCGCTGCTTCTGTGACCATTTTCACACATCTCTCCACACTTTGAGTGTGGGAAGGCCACTTCGGCACCTGCATTGGAGTCTCTTTAAGGTTTCTCAATTCTTGGCTAGTTAGACTTGTTGTCAATGGTGGCTCTAAGACTTCCAAACTCAAGTCAACCAATTCTGACAATTTGGTGGCATTGACGTTTATTGGGGGAACTTTTCTTGAATGAAACGAACAGTCTCCCAACTGGTCGTCATCTATTAGCGTTCCTCTAATCTTTAGAATGACTTCTACAGCCTCGGTTCGGAGATTGGTACATTGACTGCAAAGCATTGCTTGCAAAACTGCTTCTGATCGAGCATACCAAGCGGACCTTCTTGCCACAGGTAACACGATGTCCCTCACTACCTTCCTCTGTGTTCTTACTAGCTGCAATTGAAACAAAAGGTGATTGGGCCCATCCACCCACATAGGATTAAGTTTCACACTAAACCACTGGGGAAGATAAACTCCAATAATAAATTCAACAATTAACCTCAAATTCTTCAGCACTTTGCCCTTCAATTCGTGTTTGGAAATCCAAATCCTGCAGAAACGAAGAGCTGTAGTTAACCAACGGCTGTGACTGACAGGTCCAATCTCCAAGAGAGCCAATGACTGAGGCACTTCTCCTGATCTTATTGCTTGGGCAATACGATAAGCATAGGATTGATCTGTGCTGAGATCTTTGATGACTCCTTCAGACAACGCCGGAAGGGGAGGGCCAACTTCGACCTTTGGAAAGGTTGTATTTATTTCTAGTTGTGTTGCTTCATCCAGCATGATGCCAAGGGGACCTGACCACTTGTTGTTGCTCTTTGTAGGACCATCAAGTTCCTGGATGAGATGACGAAGAGGTAGCTCGCCTGTATGTAAATCACATACAATCCAAACAAGTCTTCTTCCTAGTTTTTTCTCTAAATGCGTCATTACACCCCCCTGCCATCCGGTGTTCACTGCAGTTGAATCTCCACCAACAGCCTGCAGTGAACTGCCAAGTCCTCTCTCCTGAACCCAACATAAAATATGATCAGCAATGACCTCTGCATGTTTCTTCCCTTCTACTTCAGTTTCGGGAGCAAAGTGAAACAAAAACCGACCACCAGGCTCAGAACAGACAGAGTAGTGTTCTTCTTTGATGAGACCTGGAAACTTTCTGTTCACTCCCTCTACTTCTAGCAAAACTTTTGTGTCATCTATTCTTCCATCAAACAAAAGACAGGAGAGCCCTCCCTCGCTTAAATCTTTTTCATGCTGATCAGATATTTCCTTCATTATTTTTTCTTGTGCTCTTCTAATTTTATTATGATCTATCACCAAAGATACATCCTCTCGGCTGATGAGGCCTGCATCTATCCAAGCGGCAGTTGCAATTTCTGCAGCCTCACGAAGTCCAGCATGGTGGCGAATACTAGCTAAAGCAATGTTTGAAATATTTCTTGTGTTGTATTTCATTTTCTTTGGTAAAGGTTCAGATGGCTCTTTGGAACTATCATCTGATGTTGCTTCCTGTTCATCAGAAGAACTATCAAAGAAGTGATAAACATCTTGACACAGCTCTTCCTCTCTTTGGATGGCTTCTTCACTCTTCATTTTCTTCTTTTGTTCCCTCTCTCGGATTTGTTCTCTCTTCTTGGCATTAGCAATCTGCTTCTTTGTTTCTGAATAATCTATTGAACCCATTTGCATACTTCCTTGGCCTTCTGCCTTTGTCCTCTGTGCCTTTATAAATTCAAGCTCTAAAACAGGGATCTTCTTTTCACGAGGACAACCACAATCAATGTGGGAATTATTTTCTCTCTTACCTGAGTGAGAACAGTTGGATTCAGAACATAATTGTATGGAGCACTTGCAGGTCAAAATGTCAAACAGAGTATCAAGTGTGTGCAGAAATTCATTTTTCCTGGCCAAGTTTCCTTTACCAAGTGATGTTTCAACTGCTTTGTGCCATAATTTCGTTAGTTTTAGCTCAATAGTTCGACACTGATTAATCACAGGTGGTTTGAATAGTGCATTAGCTTTTGTCCATTGATGCAGAAGAGGGACTATCATGTCATTTATGAGTTCTTTATCTGTATAGTTCCTTCTGTCCTTTGCATTTTTTTCTCGAAGGAGTAACCCTAATCTTAGCATGTCTCTCACTGTTGGAAGTTCTGATACAGGAAGCTCCTTCCCTTTACCAACTAGCAGGCTCAAGTGGGTTGACAACTGACTTCTTGTCTTCAATTTTGACATCTTCACACTATCTGACAAATAGAAAAATATTTCAATGTTTCATAATTCAATTGTTGTTTCAAAAAATATCAATTTGTTTATCAAAAATGCTGTAACAGAAATAACATAATAATTTCTTAGAACATAATGTTTTATACAATGATATAAGTAACTGCGACAATCAATATGCCCTACTTACAATAATTAAAATGTAGAATTCGTCTGGTAGAGTAGGTGCAAGTGCAATGAGAGCAAACCACCGTCTATGATATCTAGAAGGAGAGTGAGCCGGGCGCCTTATCCTCACGCTTGGTACAAGTCAAAACAAGAATTAAACTGTCCCACACGGAGAGCCTGTTCATGTTCATGTTCTGACATGCATATTGTACACAAGCTATAGAACCATAAAATACTCCATAATCCATATGCTTACATGAGATTAGTTAATATCAAGTGAATAATTCTAATCAAGTCTCATTAATTTGTTGAAATACTGATATTTGAAACTTTAAGGTATAATTGATGTAGGTGAGGGTTATTTCAATTTATTTTTGTTTGCTAATCTCAAGTTTAGACATAAAGAGGCACAATATTTTGACTACCAAATTTGATTTTTAACATGTTGACAAAATTGACACACCCTAACGTCACATACCAGCAGGAAGGACACTACATACCAGTTAGAAACCGAGTAATGACCTAGAGGAGTCGTGGGTGTCCATAGTGCTGGCCCATATAGCTCAAGTTGTGACCATACTGCTGGGCCTTATAGATCAGGGTGTGGCTATATTGCAGGACCATATAGACCAGGGTGTGGCCATACTGCTGGGCTTTATAGACCAGGGTGTGGCCATACTGCTGGGCGATATACAGTAGACCAGGGTCTCGTTATACTGCTTGGCCATAAAAACCAACAGCATGCGACCAAACACTATTATTCCACAACAGAGGTGTGGTGTGTGGTGAACAACGCCGGGTTGTTGACGTACGCATCGTGTGAATGGCAGACGAGCGAGATGGTGGAGCGACAGGTGGCGGTGAACCTGACTGGTGTTATCCAAGTGACCAAGGCGCTGCTGCCAACACTCAGGAGGAACAAAGGTAACCCGTCTTCCGCCATACTTCACACACAACCATTCTCTATTTTCCTTTTTCTTCATTCTCATTAGTTAAGTCATTTATCTTTCACTCATTTATGCACTTCCTGACAGTTCTGTTGGCCGAGTCAAAATCAGTATCTATATTGTATAGTTAGGAACCTCCCCCCCCCTTCCAACCATTCAAGACCCTAATTCTAATAGTATATATGTTTAGTTTAATTTTTTTAAATAATTTATATAGTTATAATTTCTAGCTTCAAATAGGTAACTTGTTTACCTTGTTTATAATTATGCCCATTAGAGGACACGCTGTCATGTTTGCCTCTCCCAGTACATGATGTTTACTACAGTACTGTACATGCACTGGTGCAGTACCTCCTTGGCAAGAAATCTTTTGAGAATTAGATATCCCTCAGTATCACAGGTTACTAGAAATAGCTGTTTGCAATTATTTTTTTTATAAAAAAACATTTATGCTTTCTAACATTCAAAAAAGCATTATTCTGCCTTACCAGGAGGTACTATCGTTCACTAAAGTCCCTTCCAGTAACCAGCCACAGTATGAGTCTGACTCATGTGTGGTTGAATCAGTGAAGCAGCAGAAGGAAGTGCCTTGATGGTCCAACATTGGGCCAGCAGGCACTTCCTTCAGCTGCTTCGTTAACTCACCCTCGCGTGATTCAGACTCACACTGTGGCTGGTTACTGGAAGGGAATTTTATACACGATAGTACATAACATTGTTACAATGTGGCGATGTGGAGATTGTAGGGTAGACATTTGAGGGTATATCGTGGTACTTGTCTTACGCGAATTTTTAAGATCTGCCTTGATCTTTCAGTATAAGTCAATTGTATGCTATATTGCCTTTATAGATTTTACTTTTATATCTATAGTTGCCTTCATTTATAACGAGTACAGTGGCTGGCGTGTTTTGTGAGATGTGGCACGACCGTCCACCAGACAACAGATAAGAGCCAATGACGCTCTACCTGGCAATCTATATTAAACTATAACCATGCAGGAAATGCGTGCATTCACAGATAGAGGGGGGGGCTACTTATTTAGCTTCCTTGGTGTGGTTACTATAGCGAAGGTAGTTTTGCCCATCATGCTAGTTTTACTGCGAATAAACAAACAGCTGTCCCACATCTCACAAAACACACCAGCCACTGTACCCGTTATTGATGGAGTCAACGGTACCTCCTTGTGCCTAGCATTGCTATTATTTACTTCCAAATGTTGCAGTAACTTTATGATTACATTTTGCATCAATAATTATTTATTTATGAGGACCTTTTCTGTCCAGGAAGTTACGACTGCGTTTGTGTGGTTTTATGTGCAGGTCGCGTGGTGATGGTGTCGTCGCCAGCAGGGCAGGTTGGGACACCCACCATGAGTGTCTACTCCGCCACCAAGTGGGGCGTGGAAGGCTTCACCCAAGCCATCCGAAGGGAACTTGCCTCTACTGGAGTCTCTGTTGTGCTCGTCAGACCATGTGAGTTTATCTTGTCCTGTATTCGTGTCTCATTTAAAGGGAGTCATTCCATACGAAGGCTCGACCAACGGTGCTTTCACGACACTATTCATCCTTAATTCTCTAAACGATATGCATCATGATGTTCATTCTTCCTTAGAGTTCACCTATATCTGTTGAGCCAGTCCTTCTGTGATGTTATGTATTATCAGGAATATAAAATACTTGAGAAAACCTGAGTGAAATGGTAATGTTCTACCATTAATCAGATGATCATGTATACAAAATTATATTTCTCACACATATACAGTACATACATACATACATACACACATACATACATACATACATACATACATACATACATACATACATACATATAGTGAGGTGCGGGAGGGGCGGCGGCAGCGTCTTTCCAGCGCTGGCACTTGTCTGCCTTGGTATGCAGTCGGGCTAACTCGAAAGTATTGACACCTTCTCGCGTGGTGCTACTCCAAGTGTTACGGTGTGGAATGATCGTCTCCTAAGTGAAGGGGTCGATTTGGCACTGTTTCAGGTTTGTCTTAAGACCATCCTTATACCATTTCCATTGCCCGCCAGCGTTACGTATACTATTTGTTAGGTGACTGTAAAGCAGTTGCCTTGGCAGTCTACTGTCATCCATGCGGGTAACATGGCCAGTCCCACATAGCGGCTCATGAATAATGGTAGTCAAAGGCTTGAGATGCACATCTCATCCGATGTTGAATTCTTCATCGATGTTTGCAGTGGTGGACAGGTGGGAACCGAGATACTGAAAGGGGTAACATCAGAGAGGGTAGTACCGTTAACCTGGATGATGGTGGAGGTGTGAGTGAACCAGGGGCAGGATGAAGGAGAATATATATGTAAAAGTGATCTGTGATTGGTTACTTAGTTCCCCGTTGCTTAATTTACCGGTTGGGCTTTGTTGTGTCGTATTATACTATACTACGTACTATAGTAAACAAACGGCCTTGATTTGCCAGCTGTCTCCAGCAGTGTTCGAAGAATCTTGAACGAGACTGTATATTCACCTCGAGGCCTAAGTGTGCATTCGCATCTCCATAGGTGTTGAGAATCTCCTGTAGGTCGTGTTCGGTCGTCTGCATTTTGAAATTCAGTAATGGAAGCTGCCGACACCTTTGTTCCTGCCTAGAGTCGTCTTATGTAGAAAAATCCCTTCATTCGGTTGAAAAGTCCGTTCATCCAATACTGGATGTCCACCCCGCTGGCTAAATTGGCACTGGCACGAGTAAGGAACGCAGTCAAGAAAATGGAAACGAGAGTTGGTGTCAGTACACATCTTTGTTTTACTCTCATTTGAATGGGGAAGCACTCAGACTGAGTGCCATTGTGTAGGACACTGCCGTTCATGCCATCGTGGAGTTGCCTCACAATGGCAATGAATTTTGGTGGGCAGCCAAAACGACTGAGGGTCCACCAGAGGGGTTCCCTATTGACGGAGTCGAAGGCCTTTGTGAGGTCAACGAAGGCTATGTACAAGTCACGACGCTGTTCTCTGCACTTTTCCCGTATCTGGAAGGCAGTAAAGGTCATGTCTATGGTGCCACGTGATAGTCTAAAGCTACATTGAGATACTTGGAGGAAGTTTTCCGCCTCAGGAAGAAGTCTGTTTAGGAGGACTCGGGCGATAATCTTGCCAGCTATGGACAGCAGTGAGATACTGCAGTACTTGCCACAGTCTGATTGGTTTCCCTTATTCTTATAAGTATTGACAATCGAGGCATCATTAAGACCTTGGGGGATTTCCTCCTCCCACATATTATCCAGGAGTGAGTGGAGATGGCTGATAAGCAGAGGTCCTCCTGCTTTATACACCTCGACTGGGATTCCATCAGGCCTTATGGCTTTGTTATTTTTCATCTGCTTGATGGCTTTAGTTACCTCATTCAGGGATGGAGGGTAACTAAGGGTGGGTCAGCTCTGGTAGTTGAGGAACTGCTGGGTTGTCAGGACAACCAAATCGGTGTTTCGGTTGAGCAGTGAATGGTAGTGCTCATTCCAGCACTGAAGGATGCCTTCTTCGTCTTTAATTAGGGAGTTACCATCGGATGAGTGCAGAGGGCCCAGAACATGAGTAGTTGTGCCATGTATTGTTTTAGCGGAATTGGAAAGTTCATTCATCTTGTGTTGTTCAGCAAGTTTCTGCATTTAATATGCCTAATTTTTCAACCATTCGTTCTTTAGATTACGAAGTTCGCGCTGAGCCGCCCCTTTTTTCTTGTGGAAGGTATTAGCTTTGATCCGAGACTGGGGATTATTCTGCCAATCAGTTAAGACAGCACGTCTATCGTCTACGAGTACCGTTGATTTCCAGGTCAATTTTATCAAACCAATCTTAGTGTTTTCTTTTGATCAGGCCAAGTGTCTCGTTGCAGGTTTTTGTGATGACAGTTTTGATGGGACCCCATTCGGCACAGGGATATTTATTGTTTGTTGTTGGGATATTTATCAGCCCATCGGTTGGCTTCGCAGTTTTGAGGGGGCATGAAGGGAGAGTTTGGCTCTGACGAGGCGATGATCTGTGTCACAGTGGTCTAAGCCACGCATGGCTCGGGTGATGAGGACATCTCGGTGATCTCTTTCTCTGACAATGTTGAAGTCAATGAGATGCCAATGTTTGGATCGTGGGTGTTGCCAAGAACACTTGAACTTGTCGGCCTGCCTAAAGAAGGTGTTGGTGATAGTGAGGTTGTGTGCAGCACACTTGCTGAGGAGGAGTTGGCCGTTGGGATTAGGGTTGCCTACTTCGTTTCTCCCTATGATTCCCTGCCATATGTCAGGATCTCTGCCAACTCTGGCATTGAAGTTACCCTGGAGCACAGCCTTATCTTCTCTAGGAATAGAAGTTAGCACTCTGTCAAGGTAGGCGTAATAGGCCTCTTTGATGTCATCCTCTGCATCCAGTGTAGGGGCGTATGTACTGATGAAGAAAGCACACACACACACACACACAGACCTCTGCTACACCACTGGCACCACCACCTCTCTCGACTCTCCATCCATTCACCCATCCACTCATCCATCCATCCATATATTCATCCGCTCGTCCATCCATTTGTCCGTTCATCTGTCCGCCCACGCACCAATCCATCCTAGCGTAAACAAAGACAAGTACTGATGTTGTAACAATGGACTAAACATGTGTCAGCTACAATGGCGTATAAATTCACACTTTACTACACTATGGCCTGCTAGCCATAATCCTCTACTCATGTACACCTGACTACTGCACTATGGCCACTATACACCTGACTGCTACATTTTGGTCACTATACACCTGCTAGCCATACTCTTCTACACATGTGCACCTGACTACTACACTATGGCCACTATGTACCTGTTAGCTAGTCTTGTATACATCTACATACATGCAAGTGTTTTCTTCTTTCCTTGTGGTTATCAGCACATACATACATACATACATACATACATACATACATACATGTTTATGTATCCCTATTACTTTTACTTTTACTCTCTTCCCCACTCGTCAGGCAGACTGGTGGTAAAATTGTGGTATTAATGATAGAAGCATGGGAATTGGCACACTATTAGATAATGTCTTTATAAGTATTTTCAGCTACAAGGCCATTGCAAATTATTTCCCTGAGGACCATGGTAGCCATTTAACAAAACGGACGCCAGCCTATACGAGAGTCTACTTCTGTTATGTTCTTCCACATCTTGCTTATTTCCTCACATGTTTCTTACAGGAAAGGCTGCTAGATGTTTCCTAGGCTTCTCTGTAATTAGTTTAGGTTAGGTTAGATGGCAAAAGATAGTGTGACAATTTTTTTCTCTTTCCAGGTCGTCACTTATACTGGAAAGCTATGTCCAAAATATATGAAATAGCAGATCTTCAGCAGCCTAGCACATCAGCTGCTACAGAAACTGGCTGGGATATATGTGTGTTATATCAAAATATGTCCAGTGAAGAACTTATTTGTCCAGCACAATTAAACGTAACACAGGAGGAGCAGGGTACAAGACACTTGCAGAAAACCTCTTGGGCTTCAAGAAGATAGACTGTTTGCCATTGAGTATTTTTTCCGACTGGATGATGGCCAGGGCATTGAGGGCACACATGCAAGCCACAATGCCAAATGACATGATAGTTGTAGACTAGAGTATAATAAAACCAGACTTCATCGAGCAGAAAAAGAGAAAGGGCACTTCACAAGCAAGTTCTGATTCTCCCAAGAAAAAGAAATACACCCGTCAGAGTCTGATAAACAGTGCTTGAGACAGAAATGTGCTTCATTTGGAATCAGCCTGCCAAAGATACAAATTCATGGCACCACTCTTCGACATTTGAGCTTGATTCCCGAGTCAAAAAATGTGCTTTGTAATTACAGGATCAACATCGCCTGGTCAAGCTGAGTGCAGGAGATCTCATAGCTCAGGAGGCCAAGTACCATGTCCAGTGTTTGGTGTCTTTATATAGCAAAGCCAGACAAGCAAAGGTACAGGTATCTGATGACATGGAAGACAATACCTCAAGGTGTAGCACTAGCTGAGCTTGTCTCTTACAATGAAAATGCCCATACAGACACTGAAGCTGTAAGAGTATTCAAACTAGCAGATCTTACTAGCATGTACACCACCAGACTGGAACAGCTAGGAACAAGTATATTCGGGCGTGTACATTCAACCGTTTTGAAAAATAGGATCCTTACATATTTTCCAGATCTATAAGCTCATAAAGAAGGGCGGAATGTCTTTCTTGTTTTTAATGAGGGTGTTAGACCAGCACTGAGGAAGGCATATGACCATGATGCTGACAATGATGCCATTCATCTTGCACGGGCTGCCAGCATTGTTAGAAGAGAGATGTTCAAGATGGAGAGCTCATTCACTGGTACCTTCGACAGCCAATGTCAAGGATCATCAGTTCCAAACTCCCTGATGGCTTTGGTTTCTATGATCTTGTATGGTCCTAACATCAAAACCCAATCAAGTTACTCATCAGTACCTCAGGGAACAATGACACTGGCACAGTTATTGATGTTCAACTGTTTTGTGCACTAACGAGAAGGTAACTTCAGCACTCTCAGACATGGGCAGAAAAGGGAAACACCTCTTCCTGTCTATCTAAGTTTACTGATCCATACTAAAACTCGCAAGAAGGAATTGGTGGATGCCCTGTTTAAGCAGGGATTATGCATCTCTTATAATAGAGAGCGAGGCATCTCCACACATTTGGGAAATGACATCTGCCGATATTTTGATATGGAAAGCTTAAAGGAGGACTCTTCACTACTGCAGCCACAGACAATATTGACCATAACCCAAGTTCAACTACTGCTCAGGGGTCCTTTCATGGTACTGGAATATCTTTATTTCAGCATCCTAGTGCTAAGAGAACTAGATTTCAGCGCATCACTCCGGCATCAACAGAAAGCAATCATTCCACTTTCAAGCAGGGCTTGGCCAAACTACCACAGTCGTACACCAATGTGCCACCAGTTACTCTGTGCAAGAAAGATCCAGTTCTTCCTAAGCTTCATGGGACCAATAAATCAGACTGTCAGCTCATGTCATCGGCAATGCAGACAGAATACAAGTATGCTCAACTTGTCTGTCATCTGTGTGTTTGTAGTCAGCTCACCTTGTCTGTCATCTGTTGTTGTTCTCACTGTGTCTGTTGTCTGTTGTCAGTTTACTTCTCTGTCATCTGTCAATTGTTAGTTTGCCATGTCTGTTGACTGTGAGTCTGTTCGTCCTAAATGTCATCCTAGAAAGTTAAATTTCGCTGAACCTGGCAGAACCTGCAATATGCACTAATTTTAAGTGGCAACCTAAACTCGCCAATATATTTTATCTTCAAAAGCCACCTCACAGTGATGTAAATACTTTGGGGCTATGCCATCATGCCATGTCTTCCTAATGTCTTTCTCAGTCACAGATGGTTGGAACATGTCAGGCAGGTGGTGACCATGGATAATATGGATGAAGATGAAACTCTCTCCTGGGCTGCTTACCATTCCAGTCGCTGTTAACCTGAGGAAAAACCACATAGCAACATATCAGTAGGTTCTCTTTTATGAAGATGCCAACTCACTAGCAATGATTCACCATGGCTTGAATGTAGTGAAAGATTCTGTCAACATTCTTAATCCTGGACAAGTCCCCATCATCACTGCTGACCAAATTTATAAGCTGTTACCAAGCAAATTTAGTGGAGCTGGCCAGGAAGATATGGCGAAGATAAGTTCATAGTGACGTTTGGAGGGTTACACATAGAGAGAGCTGCTTTGAAATTGCTTGGACACCTGCTTAAAAGCAGCGGATGGACGGATGTACTCACACAGGCCAATATTGCCTCATCAGACATAGCCGACTCATACTTGATAGCAACTCATGTCACACTCACCCGTCACGCTCATCAGATTACAGCCTCAAGCCTGCACACTCTCCTCCATAAAGCATACATCCAGTACTGCAGTAGTCTGGAAGAAGAGGAGGATCCAAAGTCACTGGAAGATTGATGTAATGACAGAGCCAAAGTGATTCCACAGTTTCAATTTTGGATCACCATCCTTCAGCTTGAGCTACAAGTAATGATATATGTAAGATCACTAAGAGAGGCTGACTTCAGGCTCTACATAGATGCTATATCACATATTGCCGCGTTGGTTTTTCTCACTTGCTCTACCCAAATATGCCAATATGCCAATATGGCATATGGATACCAATACACATACGTGATATGGTCTCTCTAGCTGAGAGGAACCCTGTTGTGCGTGAGGAATATTTCAATGGCAACTTTACAGTTAGGAAGACAGGACGTACATTCTCTAATATAGCCATTGATCAAGCTCACGAACAGTGTAATGTTCATGTCAAGGGTAATGGCGGTATTATTGGTTTCAGAGAGAACCCTGCAACGCTGGATGGTGTCCGGACCAGAGATGGCTCGCTTGATTGAAGAGTTCCAGGATTCAGTGGAAAAGCGAGAAAAGGAGGCAGATCATCGACACCATGAGCAGACAATAAGTATACAGATGGCATTCTTCGCCCATGTAAACGCATTTAGCGATGTGATTGTGGAGATGGGGAATCCATTCATTGACAAATGTTGTGATCTTCTCGTCCTAGACACTAGAGACTTTGCTGACCCAACTGTATTTGACACGATCCGCATGATTGAGAGACTGGGTAGAGAACAGTATGAATCACTTATCAGTGAGCGTCTTGTGGACCACGTTAAATCCATCAAGGATCCCATCAAACGGAACTACCTCCCTCTTTTCAGTCGACCACCAGTGCGGGAGAAGTCAAGAACTAAACATCAGCTGTCATCTGTGAAGACTGACTGTTCACTGTTCTCCAGTTTGTATATTTCGTGTCAAACTTGGGATGGAGACTTTGATGAATTCTTTGCACACGAAAATCAAGCATGTCCACCATCACTCTCAAGTATGGGCAAATTGAGGCTTGGAACCAATTCAGACCTTGTATACTGCCTGGCAGAATTGATTCCTCCACCAACAAGGTATTCCACAACTACTGCTGTACCCGAGCCATCAGTGGATAAGATTGATTCACCTACTACAGATACTGTCATTTTGGATGGAGCAGCAATTGTCAATATGATGAAGCCTGGGATATCATGCACCTTCTCTGAGCATTCAACCCAAATATTCTTGCCATACATCAATTCACAGCTGCAGCCTACAAACAGGGTAGATTTGGTATGGGACGAGTATATTCCAGGCAGCCTGAAGACATACACACGCAGTAACAGGGGAAAAGGAAGTCGCAGGCCAGTGAAATCATCCATTGCTCTATCTAGAAACTGGCAAGAGTTTCTAAGAAATGACGACAATAAAATAGGGCTGTTCTCTTTCTTGAGCAAACAAGTAACAGCCCTTGCCACAGACCACAAAAATGGACTCTGTACCCAGCCAAGGGACATCACCAGCCTTGCCCCCTGCACTTAGGAAGAGGCCGTTACACGAATCTTCCTGCATGTAGTAGATGCAGTCAAGCATGGCTATTTCAAGGTGATGATCCGCACAGTTGACACTGACGTTCGAGTGTTGGCCATAGCAGCTTTTCATCTCCTCAATATCACTGAGCTTTGTGTTGCTTTTGCCACAGGAAAAGGCTTCAGTTACCTCCCAGTCTATGAGATGGCAGGTTCTCTTGGGCCTGAGAAATGCAAAGCCTTGCCTTTTCTTCACGCATTCAATGGGTGTGACACTGTTTCTTCCTTTGCTGGCAGGGGCAAGAGGACTGTGTGGGAAGTTTGGAAAGCATTTGATGAGGCTACACCAGCATTCTGTTCTTTGGCATCCACTCCTAGCTCTGTTGAAGACCATCTGTTGGTACTGGAATGTCTTGTTGTGCTCCTCTATGATCGCACTAGCAGTGCAGTGGGGGTGAATGAGGCCAGTCAGCAGCTGTTTTCCCAAAAAGGCAGATCTATGGATGGCCTTCCCCCAACACAGGCTGCACTTTTGGAGCAAACTAAGAGACCTGTTGGTAGCTGTTCCCTGGTAAATGGGGTTGGAAGCAAAATGAGGATGGAGGCTGGGAAGTGTAGTGGACAGCTCTTCCCGATGCTTCTCACGCCTGCCAGGAACTAATCCGTTGTGGTTGCAAGATAGGATGCAGGGGACAATGTAAATGTGTGAAGGCTGCTCTACAGAGTATTGCTCTTTGCCTGTGTGGAGGCCTATGTGACCGTGAATAAGTCAATCTTGTACAGTAATGCAAAATAATGAGCTGATTATTGGAGTTTTTCACATATTCAACATCCAATTTAATTGTATTCTGTATTTTCTATAACCATAGGTTGACACATTGCAGCCGAGCTGCTCCAAAATTTGATTACTGTATTAGCTGATTTACGCCGAATTGTTAGTCATCTTGTTAATTTTTGCTGTATGTGCAGTTAATCTAATAATACAACAGTAATGATTGTTTGTACAACTATTACGCCTTTTCCCGTATGAGTGAGGTGGGAAAATGTTCCAGAGACTGAACCAGGGCTTAGCTCAAGTCATTTAATGGGCAGATCGCACCCGATGATGATAATTTGTGATAAAGTCATTCCGGTCGCCTCTGATGATTCGAACTTATGAGAGGTGTTTGTTTCAGTTTAATGTTGAATTCTGTTTATTAAAATTAATGATTTTACAGGTTTGTGGTGAATGCTGGTCCAAGTTTATGGTGAATGGCTTTAAAAACAAGTGTTAATGTGATTGAATTTTTGTAGCCTTTGAAAATATTTGCAATTCATAAAGCACACCAATTTAATTTTCCAAGATAAAAAACTGACTCATCAGCTCATGCAAGATGTTTATTATCTTTCAAAATAAATAAGACGTAATAATACTGGTTACCTATATTATGAATCCAAACTGTTAACTAATATATGCTTAAATGTAGGGAGCTGTATTTAATAATAATCGCTATTAAAGTTGGCTGTCCCAGCACTCAGAGGACACATCTGAGATGGCCCTATAGCCCAAAATGTTTACCCTGCCCTCCTCTAAGTATGTGCCAAATTTCATGCTTCTATCATTAAACCCACAATTCCTTGATATATTTCCCCAATCTGCATGACTACACTGATCAGCTCGTTAACAGCTTGGGTGGTCGATCACGTCTCTGTTACTCACTGTTGGCAAGTACTGGGCATGAACTGGCTCCTGAATGTATTTGAACCTGCTCCTGTGTTGGTCAAGTCTGGTCTTGTGTGTGTGTGTAATTGATGTACATTATCACAGGTAACCTGCCCAACCGTACTGGGATTCTCCGCAACAATGCAGCGCAGCTGAGGGAGATGATAGAAGGGGCAGGGGAGGAGACCCTCCGCGATTATGGGGAGGCCATGAAGGAGGCCGAACAGGTCTTCCACGAGGCCTATGGTAATGTGAACCAGGTGCAGGGCCTCCGAGACGATCGCCTCCTGGAGTGCTTCAGGTAAATCGATATTAGGATTATCTCGGTATTTAGAGGAATCACCTTTTTTGATAATGTTCCTGAATTTATGGTGCTACTATAGCGTGCGATCTACAAGATATTTAGGTTAAGCTAGCTTCGGTTAGTTCTTTCACAAAGGTAAAATCAGATGGCAGTCACCCTAATTTGCATAATTTCGTAGTCCTCAGCGATCGAGGTATCATACACAATTTACACGGATTTATTTTTAAATATTTCAAAGGGTTCTGAATAGTAAGTTTTTTTTTTTTTTACTACATGGTGGGTGAATTATTCAAATAGATCTTGGAGAAAATTCCAGATTTTATTGCATAAATAATAGACAGATGGATGACAGAGACGGGCTCAGCCCAGATGGAGGACTGGGCAGAGAGCAGTGTGTGACATAACCCTCACATTGAAGGGGAAGAGAGATCAGAGGAAAGAGAAAATTATGTTTTATTTGGCCATGAAACATTTTCAGAATGTATCGAATGCCCTTAGGAATATTGTCAGTTATATTCTACACCAGAAGCCATAAAAAAACAAAATCCTCAGTTGGGAGTAGGGGGGTTTTCCTCGATAATCGCTGTTGGAATCTTCTAAGATTCTCTGCATTTTTTCCTGTTCTTCCTGGATGTGCATGATCCTTTAGCGAAACATGACCCCAATGGCAGTGCCGTGAGGGTACATTTTAGATACATGGATAGGCCAAACTTTAGGGTCATAGAATTTTATTCCATTCACAACAGCAACATCTCACCCAATGTCACAGGGACTTGCTTATAATTTATATTTATATTTATATAATATCTGTGGGCCATGCCTTCTCCCTATTAACACTGTGAAGGTTTTCCTGTTATTACGTTATCCTTCGGACTACGTGGCTCTCAGATAGGGCGTGGTCAATATTTCATCATACCATGACTGGAAGTCATGGGCATGGCAATTTTGTGTTAACCCATTTGTTGTTGCTTGTGTACTCAATGCGAGAGCTCATTAATTACTTATTGTCTTCCCATAAATATTCCTATCTTTCTCCCATTATAACCTTCCCCCAATCCTTGTGCTGTAGTATGTAAGCTTGTGATTAAATGGCATTCATCTGCACATGCCCCAATGGGTGGTGCTTACTGAGCAGTATCTATGATGAGCTCTGTCTTACTCCAGCCTTGCCTGAGTGTAGAGGTCCCTGCCTCTCTCCCTCCTTTGTCTTGTCCCAGCCTTATTTGAGGGAAGAGGCCTCTGCCTCGCCTTCTCTGCTGTCCTGTCCTTGGCTTGCGTTAAAAATAGATGCTTGCCCTTCTCTCTTCTTCTTTGAGCCACAATGTGGCTTAAGGTTTGTGAATCCTTTCCTAGAGAATGCTAGGTGGGAGTCAGTGGTGCTTATACTGAACTCCCAATTAGGTAAGATGTGCATTTATATGTTTTGTAACTTTTATTTGTAAATATATGTTAGTAAGGTAAATTTACCTAGGTGTTTCTGTTGGTAATATTTGCCTAGGAATTTATTCTTCAGCCATGACTGAGTATTTGGGAATACCTAAAGATAATATCATGCAGTCTACCCTACTTAAAACTAGCACTAGCAGTTGTCCAGCTCTGTGTGTTTTGGGGCAAGTTTGGGCATAGACACCTGGGGCTATGATACCCAAGCATTCCTAATCTCCTCAAACCCACCACCCTGTTGTAACCCTTGCAACTTTCCCTCATGGCTCAAGGCCATCCGTTACTGTCCATGTTGAAGCTGCCCTGGCTTCAGGGACTTTGTCACCTACCAGCCCTTAAAATGTATCTCTGTTAAAACACTTCACATATGCATCTCATGTCACGACTTACCAAATCTCACCCCAGTAAGTTATTCTTGCTTTCACCTCTCTAACTGAACTTTATCTTACTTTCACTGACGAACAGTTTCCACTTCCTGACACGTTCCAACATGCTTTACACTTTCTAAAAAATCTGGATAACATTCAGAATCATCCAGTTTTCCCCATACATTTTTGTTTTCAATATTTCTCACATATTTTATAAAAGCTATCATAAATGTTTTCCAGATTCATAAATACCCCCCCCCCCTCAAAAAAAATTAAATAAAAAATAAAAAAATTCCCTTTGCAGGAACATTATCACTTATGCTCCTTAATATTAACACTTTTAATGTTCATCTGGGGGGAACAGAGGGAGACTGAATTAGGGTCAAACGACTAAACAGATTCAGGAAAATTAGAAAAGTATCATTTAAAATTTGAAGAAATGATAGCCTTATAGAAATAATAAATTTACGACATTTCAAGACAAAATCACTATTTACATATTTTCTGTATTGATAAGAACTGCCAAGCCTAGACAGGGAAAAATTGCGACAGTGAGATGATAGAGATCCTTTGTAAAGAATTGGACCCAGTGTGACACGTCAAGTATAACTGTGAACGATCAGTAAGACCGAGCCCACCAGTAGAACTATTTATGGCTGATAAACAGGGACGAAGCGACCCAGGCGGTGTAATAACCCACAAAATTTAAGTTAGTTGGAAAAATACGAAGACAAAAATAAAGTGCAAGTGGAAATTAGTCTATTCTACCAAGTAGAATATTCTACTCAGTCGAATACATCACTAGAAAGTCCGGTAAGAAAAACTGAGATGAGAAAAGTTTTCCATTCTTGAAAACCCTGCCACAACTCTGTGCCTGCTGCCACTTGGCTGTGAGCTGTGGGTCACAGACATGATCCAGTGTTGCAGTGTCTTCAGATTTGTCACGTCTCAGATTTTCAGATTTTCTTTTTTAAATGGGTCAAATTTAAAAAAAAATATGAAGAAAGTTTTTTCAATGGTTTCAAAACAACAAATAGTATTTTTCTTTTTATCTTACTCTGTAATCACATAGCTACTCCGGTTGTGGAGTTTTCCAAAAGGTGGCGCCATTTAAGAAGCGTTAATCACAAGAATGCAATGGTGAAATGGATCTGTTGGAAGATCAGTACAACAAAGAACCAGAATTCAGTGTTACGACAGTTAGAATCAGCCCATAAACAACAGATCCTCATTAATCACTAGTACCTAAGTACCTACGTGTAAAGAAAGAGTGTTTGGTCTTTACTGCATAACAAAGCACTACAATAAAAGGACATGAAGAGAAAAGATCAAATATGTGGGAAGTAACAGACCTTACCAGAGGTAACTTCATAAAATATTTATACCTCGGATGCAAAGACTCCCCATGGCTCAAAAAGAAATTGCAAAATCAACTCGAGGTCGCATGCTTAATGGACGTCACCATCCATCCAGAACGAAAATTTAGATATGTCTAAATTTGTTGTAGAGCGGATCATCTCAGATATGCTGTCGAGTAGAAAGTTTGGAATAATCATGGATGATACTTCGAACATCAGCCACACAGAACAAGTGGCACTCTGAGATACTGTACGTTTTGGAAGGTAAAATGAAAAGGACATTCATTGGATTTTTTCGAGAGCATTAACTGAAGGTGAAGTGTTATTTAAACTCGTGAAAACAGTTACCAGTAAACTTGGTCTGAAATTGGAAAACAGTTTCGGTGAATGTTTCGATGGTGCTGCTAATATGAGAGGCATTTGTAAAGGATTAGCAACTCGTATGAAAGAGTTGTAGGAATTTCGTGGTATAATATTGTCTAGCACTCAGGATGGATGGAAACTCTAAGGTGGTTTTCTTGTATAATATAAGTTATATGATAGACAGTCTGGTGCTGGAAGTGCCGTGTGGTGAGGAGCTGCTCAGTATAGACGTTCGGTGAGTAGCGTGTTGAAGGAGGTAGATGTGCAGGAGCTTCGTTAGAGAAGATGTTGCCTGTTGCTGGCCTCCTGGTTGAATGAAAGCTGGACAGCGAGGAGCTTGCTGGAGGAGGTGTTGCGTGTTCAGGAACCGAGAGCAGAATGAGAGCTGGTTGGTGAGGAAGCTCAGAGAAGGACAGCTGGTAGGTCGCCATGCTCGCCGGCGGGAGCGAGGACCGCCAGGCAGCGGCGGAGGAGGAGGTGATGCTTGTTCAGGAAGATGGGCCAGAATAAGTGCTGGAGGTGCCGTGTGGTGAGGAAGCTCAGATAAGGACAGCTGGTGGGTCGCCATGCTCGCTGGCGGTAGCGAGGACCGCCAGGCAGGCGGAGGAGAGGCGAGGGCCGCCAGGCAGCGGCGGAGGAGAGGCGAGGGCCGCCAGGCAGCGGCGGAGGAGAGGCGAGGGCCGCCAGGCAGCGGCGGAGGAGGAGGTGTTGCGTGTTCAAGAAGAGAGGCCAGAATGAATCTCAATGGAGAGACAGAGCTTATATACCCAGCAGCCGTGAAATCATCTATGAGTCATGTTGGGAAAACCCGAGAAGTAACCTGTCTTTGGCTCCTTTGCTAGGATACGGTGGCATCTGGTGACGCCTCTCGCTTGCTGCTAGTTTGGTTGCTAGGGAAGATGGTAGCAGCTGGTGGCTGCGGCTATGCAGTTGTAGGGGAGAAGTCCACTACAGAGTGTTCACCACAAGGAATATGTTGTATGTTCATTATTATGGTCACTTCATTCTGGCATTGAAGGACACTGTGAGTGAAGTAGAGCCACACAGAAATGCGCTTGGGATCATTAATACTGGCAGTTCTTATCATTTCTTAGAAGCAAGTCCAAAACGCCATTCATGAAACACAGTATTCAAGGATATTAACGTAGATGATCGCATTGCTCTTACAATAAAATCCTTGAGTGTAACGAGACGGTCATGCCGACAGGAGGCAGTGAAAACCGTCACTGAGCAGATAATATAGATCATCAAAGCCGTTATCTTTGCTGATGATAATAACACAAAGCAGTCTCGGCAAATACCTTCAAGGAGCGAACATGAATGTTATCACTGCCACTAGAAAAGCTAACCTCAAGAAGGCGAGAGCACCGAGAAATAAAACGTTATCGTGTCAATACATAATTATTGAAGCCTTGACAGTGATCATCAAACTGAAAGCACGACTCAAAGAAAATGATCAAGATAGTCTATGTGCCTTGGAGGATATAGTGGTGAACGACTCTCCTTCCGATAACAGCTTCAAAGTGGTGTCAGACTTTTATCATGTTGACAAAGATCTACTAGAAGTAGGTAGGGGCGTAACTTCACTCGCTGAACATTCCAACCCTCCGATAAAGACTGCGGCAGAAATCACCAACAGTATGCTTCAGGAAGTATTAAATGAATTACTACCTGTATTTTAGAAGTTATCAACCACCCTGGCATCAATGCTGTCGTTTCATACAACGATGGGACAAGTTCGTTTAAAGTGTTGCTAAAACACATATTGGCGAGCCTATGCTAACAACAATTGAAAATGATATGGACAAAATAATCGATATTTTTGGTAGGCAAAAGGGGCGAGACAATTTTTTTTCTAAGTTCATCGCTGTAATCAACAACTAGTGAATGTTGTTTACTTCCGATAAATTGGCTTTACGTTCACTTTCTTTTTTATTGTTTTCTACCTTCGGCACATTGATGATATATGCTGTTCCATTAATTAAAGTGATTAATTAAAGTGATTAATTCTTTGGTTGTGCTTATAATGGTGTGTCATACTGCGGACGGCTATGGTGATTCTTACTACAATTTTTATATAAAAATGTCGTATATACAACTCACATAGTATTGTGTGTACTGTAGCACTTTAAGAATTCGGGCAATTCTGAGTGTGCCCCCTACCCAATGAGTCGATGCCGTACGCCCATAATTATGACTCATATCTTCCACAGGTACACAATAAATACATAACATGTCCACAGGTCAGCTATCATGAGCAAGAGGCCACTGGCAACATACTCGGCGGCGCCGCTGCTGGTGCGGGTGGCCCTCAACCTCCTGCAGCTCCTGCCTACTGCCTGGGTCGACTTCCTCTGCGCCATAGATTTCCACTATATTGTCTTATCTTTAGCCAAGAACAGTTAAACGGCTCTGAAAATCTGATCTATATCAAGAACTGTAAAGGTGTGACCACTCATTGTTTATCCACATAATTTTAAAATCATAAGGATTAGTGTAAGATGGTTATTGAATAGAATGCTTAGGACAGTTTTAAGTATTGTAGGAACTTATGGGGCACTGTGCCCCATCAAATTCTGCGCATAACAATTGATTATAGCTATTTTATATGTACTGTACTTTAATTGTAAAAAAACCAGTAAGATGAGGAACATTTAACTGTTTATAAACTACAAATGTGTTATACTCTCTCTCTCTCTCTCTCTCTCTCTCTCTCTCTCTCTCTCTCTCTCTCTCTAGGTGGAAATAACTTGAACATATATTAAAGGTTCTGTCGGTACGATTACGCTCTAGATTTCGTTTGTTCAAGCTGTTTCCACCTAGACATTGAACTGAAATGTATAAAAGAACTACTCTTAAGCAATGATTTCCATAATAAATTTACAGATACTCATATAGGCAAAACCCTTAATAGGATTTTTAGTCCCACACAAATTTCTCTCAGATTAGCCTTCAAAATAATCCCAGAGATCAATTAAAATATTCTTCAAAACTAAACACATCATACCGACACACATACAATCCTCAGTTGTTTATCAATTTACCTGTAGAGCAGTCAGTATATATAGGCAAAAAAAACTTGAAAACTCGTTTCCATGAGGACCTAGGCAAAACAGGCCAATTAATCACATAACACTAGTTCAACACATTCACCACAGCAGTAGTACAACACGTTCACCACAACACTAGTACAACACGTTCATTACAACACAAGTACAACACGTTCATTACAACACTAGTACCACACGTTCATTACAACACTAGTACCACACGTTCATTACAACACTAGTACCACACGTTCACTACAACACTAGTACCACACGTTCACCACAACACTAGTACAACACTAGTACAACACGTTCACCACAACACTAGTACAACACGTTCATTACAACACTAGTACCACACGTTCACCACAGCAGTAGTACAACACGTTCATTACAACACAAGTACAACACGTTCATTACAACACAAGTACAACACGTTCATTACAACACTAGTACCACACGTTCACCACAACACTAGTACAACACGTTCACCACAACACTAGTACAACACGACACTAGAACAACACGTTCATTACAACACTAGAACAACACGTTCATTACAACACTAGTCACCACACAGTAGTACAACACGTTCACCACAACACTAGTACAACACGTTCATTACAACACAAGTACAACACGTTCATTACAACACTAGTACCACACGTTCATTACAACACTAGTACCACACGTTCATTACAACACTAGTACCACACGTTCACTACAACACTAGTACCACACGTTCACCACAACACTAGTACAACACTAGTACAACACGTTCACCACAACACTAGTACAACACGTTCATTACAACACTAGTACCACACGTTCACCACAGCAGTAGTACAACACGTTCATTACAACACAAGTACAACACGTTCATTACAACACAAGTACAACACGTTCATTACAACACTAGTACCACACGTTCACCACAACACTAGTACAACACGTTCACCACAACACTAGTACAACACGTTCATTACAACACTAGAACAACACGTTCATTACAACACTAGTACCACACGTTCACTACAACACTAGTACAACACGTTCATTACAACACTAGTACAACACGTTCATTACAACACTAGTACCACACGTTCACTACAACACTAGTACGACACGTTCATTACAACACTAGTACAACACGTTCATTACAACACTAGTACCACACGTTCACTACAACACTAGTACAACACGTTCATAACAACACTAGTACGACACGTTCACCACAACACTAGTACAACACGTTCATTACAACACTAGTACGACACGTTCACCACAACACTAGTACAACACGTTCATTACAACACTAGTACAACACGTTCATTACAACACAAGTACAACACGTTCATTACAACACGTACAACACGTTCATTACAACACTAGTACGACACGTTCACCACAAACTAGTACAACACGTTCATTACAACACGTACAACACGTTCATTACAACACTAGTACGACACGTTCATTACAACAGCTAGTACAACACGGTCACGACAACACTTGTACAGTACTACATAATCACTACAACACCAGAGTTGGAAAAAGTACCGGACTTTGTTGCTTAAGTAAAAGTATTGTTACATTGGCAAAATGTTACTCAAGTAGAAGTAAAAAAGTATCTCATTCATAAAGTACTCAAGTACTGAAAGTAAAAAGTAACAACAAAATTATTGTCTCCAATATTAAAATAAATCCACAGTAAATTATAAATAAACTAGTGAACTAAAGATTTAAGTAAAAGACATGTTATTTGTAAATCTTTCTATTAAGATTAATCAATAACTGACTCTCAAAATTATGGCTGCCCAATCAGGATATTGTAGGCCTAATTATAAGCCTAACATGACCTATCGAAAGAGAATACGTTCATCCGCTCTTCTCTCTGCAATCCATCGCAGGGATAGTGAACTGGCTGAGAGTATATCCATCCAACACTATGATCAATTTCTTCCTTATCCACACAAGTATCGTCGACGTGGACTTATGATCCGCAGACATAATGTTGTCTCTGCTTGCATTAGGTTAGGATACAGAACTATCTGGCAAGTACCTGAGGAGGGGGATGACCCGCACTTCTCTTCCTGTAAACTCTGTAAATGTCTCAACGCTAACACCGTTCAACTCTATTGACTGTCCCGCTGTCATGGACCTCCTACTTATTCGTAATACAGTAATTTAGATTTAATTTTTGTACGCTACCCACGCTTTGGTGGGTGTTAACTCCTGTTGTCCTTAAATCATATCAACATTGTCTCCATATCACAAATCATAACGTGTCCTGCGAGACACGAGTGCCAATGTATTAGACACAAGAAATTAGCACAGTATTAATAAAGATTATTATCATTATTACCAAGACACAGATCAGAAGCAATTATCATAGTATTAATAAAGATCAATATTATTATTAAGCCCATTATTAGAATTATATCACATTGTAAACTGATGGGCTTAAGGTTGAGTAGATCCGAACAGAGTCTGCACGCCCTCCTTCCCAACAGCAACAACCATGAGGTGTAAGGAATCAGGGGTTGAAGTGTCGCCAGTAAGTCTGTTGACATGCAATTACTGCAGGTCCGAACAGGTTCTACAGCAGCTAGGGACTCTGAAGAAGTGTGCCGAAGAGATGGCGATTAGTAGGCTTACTGTTAGGGAGAGGAGGAACAATGGGAATGTTTCGAGCGCAGGAACAACGTAATAGTTTTTGGAGTCCCGGAGAGACAGTCGGAGGAAGCTAAGAGTAGGAAACCACACGATAAGTTGCATTTTGAGAATATTTGTACTGAGGTTCTGGATATATCAGTCCCCCCTCAGGATGTGAGGAGGCTAGGTCAAAAGCAGGAGGGCAAGCCTCGCCCCCTCAGGATCACAGTTGTGGGTGAGGAGGAGAAATGGAAAGTTATTCGGCAGGCAAAAAACTTACCAAGGAGCGCTGCATTTCAGAATATATTTATTCACCCAGATCGCACGGTAATGCTGAGGGAACAACACAAGAAACTCCTACAGGGCTTGAAGCAGAGAAGGGTGGAATCGAGGAGGAACTGGTGTACATGGGTTATATCCAGTGGGAGGGTAGTGGAAGGAAGAGCGCCAGCACAGAGCCAGGGATCAGCGGTACACCCCCCCCCCTCCCACCCAAGAGGAGGCACCAGCTGTAAGGTCAATGTAGACAGGTCGGGGAGACAGCTGTCTAATTTAAGTTCCCTCTGCACAGTGACGTCACCCGAACTATAGCTGGCTGGCCCGCTCCCCCTCGCTCTGTTTTTTTTTTTTTTTTTTTTTTTTTTAAAGAGGATTAGCCAACCCGAGCACAGGTCACTGATCCACTCCATGGCCTGGGGGGCGAAAATATAATAATAATAGTAATAATAACACTGGGCAGCAAATTAAAAAAAAATCCGAAACATGGTTCAGAGCAGCTTCCTTTTGGTAATTTTGAGGTGATGACTTCAATTCTGGCGATAAAAATTCTCTGGCACGTACAGTTTATTTGTTATACAAAATATTTAATCTTACAAATTCAAAAATTTAAAAATAATATTTTCCTGTTATTTTTTTCCACGTCATCACTAAAATTCAATAAAGAATGAAAACAATCATAAGACACAAAAATTATTAAATTAGCCACTGTATGGGCGTTTGTTATTTTATTTCATCCTTTTATGTGTTGTATTGTCCTCTGATTGTAAACACCAGCAACAGTCCCCCATCATGGCAGGATCCCATCTACCCTGGTACCTTTCCCCCACACGTGTTCTTTTTAAGTTTCTCTACAAGTTGGCAATAGTTTTCTTGTTTCCAAGAAACCCCTTGACTACGGATGTGAAGGATTTCCATGCATCTAGCTCATTTTCATTCAGTTTGTTTTCTAAGTCGTCATCACGAAGTAACTTTCTTATCTGTGGGCCAACAAAGAAACCCTCTGACTTTAGCATCACTGAGCTGTGGGAATTTTCCCTCAAGTACACGAACCCATCACCTTGTTTGTCCATAGCCTTCACAAAATTCTTCATTAGTCCCAGCTTGATGTGTAAAGGAGGTAGAAGTACATCGTTTGGGTCTACCAAGGGAGTATATTTAACGTTGATTTTTCCTGGATCAAACTCTCCTCTCTTTGGCCAGTCCTTTGTGTTGTAGTGTTTATATCTGTTGCTCTGCTGACCCATAAACACAGAAAACAGCAATATTTCGTGAACCCTCCTTAAGGGCCAAGTAGAAGGAATATAACCTTCAAATCGCCAAAATCTGCCATCTATACTCCTTGTATTTAATAGCGGTCAGTATTTTCTCCATGCTATCATATGTTTCCTTCAAACCTACAGAATGCGCTACTGGAACTGAGGGCTTCTGGTTCCAATTATGCAACAATACATGCTTTCAACTCTGACATCAGTCCATCTACATCAGTACACACAGAGAGAATCCTGCATAATGTACAGTGAGGTTAGGGACAACACTTGCTCTTCAAGAGGCATTACTCAGTCGGGTGTCCTTGCCTGGAGCTGGCGGACGCTCGCCCCACAAGTGGGTCACAGCCCAAGGCTGAAGAAGCCGCAGGTCCACAAAACTGTGAGGACAAACTTTTTCGGGGTGAGAGTTGTCAACTCTCGGAACAATCTGCCAGAAAGTGTTGTGACGGCACCGAGTATGAGCGCTTTCAAAACCAGACTTGACCAATACTGGAAGAGGTTCAAGTACATTTAGGAGCCGGTGCATGCCTAGTACTTGCCAATAGTGCGTAACAGAGACGTGACCGATCGCTCAAGCGGCCAACGAGCCGATCAGTGGTGAAGAGGATAAAAAAAATACACACTAAGACAACACGGTTTTATACCGGGGCGCTCCTGCTTAACAGAAATGTTCAAGGTATTGGATATTTGGACCCATATTCTGGAACGGGGTGGTAATATCGACAATATTTACCTAAATTTTGCCAAGGCTTTCGACAGTGTATCCCACAAAAGGTTGAAAATCAAACTGGAAGGGTACGGAATTCGGGGAAATGTTCTAGCGTGGATAGAAGACTTTCTACATGACCGCAAGCAGTGTGTGGTGATTAATGGCACGAAATCATCATCCGTACCTATCACAAGCCGGGTGCCACAGGGCAGTGTACTGGGCCTGCTGTTGTTTGTTTGTTTCATAACTGACATGCCTGACGTTGTCCACTCCTCCATACAAATATTTGCCGATGACGCCAAGTTATTTCGGGAAATCAAGAACCAAGCGGACTGTGAAGAGCTGCAGAAGGATCTCTTTCAGCTCCAAGAAATGGTCGAAGAAATGCTTGCTGAGATTCAATGTCACGAAGTGTAAGAGGATGCACCTGGGGCGTACCAACGGTAAGGAGGCGTATTATACGTCCCAACGGGATGAAGAAACTCCACTATTTGAGACTGAATGTGAGAAGGACCTAGGTGTGTATGTTGACAATGAGCTGAAGTTTTCGGGCCATTGCGAGAAGAAGGTAAATCAAGCAAATAAATTATTGGGTCTTACTATAAGAAGGTCGTTCAGATATCTAGACGGTCCATCCCTCGTAACGATCTTCAAGAGTGAAGTGCTTCCCCATCTGAAGTAATGTCACCCGTCTGGTCCCCGAGATATACTAGAGACTGTCAGTTGGTTGAAAATGTTCAAAAGAGGGCCACCAGACTGGTGCCTGCACTTCAGCACCTCAACTACCCTGAGAGATTGGAGCGCTTGAACTTGCCTAGCTTATACTACAGACGAGCAAGGGGCGACCTAATTGAGGTGTATAAGCATCTCAAGGGGCACTACTCAGTCGAGTGTCATTACTTGGAGCTGGCGGACGCTCGTCCCACAAGGGGTCACAGCTCAAGATTGAAGAAGCCGCAGATCCAGAAAACTATGAGGGCAAATTTTTTACGAGTGAGAGTTGTGAACTCTTGGAACAATCTACCAGAAAGTGTTGTGACGGCACCGAGTGTGAGCTCTTTCAAGACAAGACTTTACCAACACTGGAGCAGGTGCATGCCCAGTACTTGCCAACAGTGTGTAACAGAGACGTGACCGATCACCCAAGCTGCTAACGAGCCGATCTTTCGATGAAGAGGATAAAAGAAAAAGAAAAGTAATCAGAGACGTGACCGATCGCCCAAGCGGCTAACGAGCCGATCAGTGGTCAAGAGGATAAAAGTAAAACTAAAAGTCAACTACCCTGAGAGATTGTGACGCCTGAACTTGCCAAGCTTATACTGCAGACGGGAAAGGAGCGACCTAATTAAGGTATATAAACATCTCAAAGGGCACTGCTCGGTGGAGTGTCCTTACCTGGAGCTGGCGGACGCTCGCCCCACAAGGAGTCACAGCTCAAGGTTGAAGAAGCCGCAAGTTCAGAAAACTGTGAGGGGTAACTTTTTTGGAGTGAGAGTTATGAACTCTTGGAACAATCTGCCAGAGAGTGTTGTGACGGCACCGAGTGTGAGCTCTTTCAAGACCAGACTTGACCAACACGAGAGCAGGTTCAGATACATTGTACTGTGGGGTATGGGATGTTTGGTTCACACTCAGGATGGGATGGAGAAAGGAAACTCACAATGTGCTCTCTGTATACATGTTGTATTGGATGTCCAATGCAGCTTGGTGCTGGGAAGGCAGCGTGGTTACAAGCGTGATGTAGAGAGAGCTGGTTGGTGAGGATCTTCAGAGGAGGACCACCTTGTGGTTCACCATGCTCGCTGGCGGGAGCGAGGACCGCCAGGCAGGCGGAGGAGGAGGAGGTGTTGCTGGCTGGTTGGTGTAGGTAGAAAGAGGCAGGTCACCACGAGGTCAGGTCTTAAATAGCGGGGGGTAGGCGTGGCTTAGTAGTTGACCCCCGCTCCGTGATGTATGGCGGCGCTGGTTGACCTAGACCACGAGGCACACACTGTGGAATTCGTGGGGTCGGCTACGCAGCGACAAACAGCGTTTGTAGGGGAGAAATCCACTACAGTACATCCAATACAATATGTATACGGTGAGCACATTGTGAGTTTCCTTTCTCCATCCCATCCTGAGTGTGAACCAATACCACATACCCCTACAGTATAATGGCAGGGTAATTTTAGGGGCTGCTCGAGGACCACACCCCATAGAAAAAAATGTTCCCCCTCAAACTTTCGTGTCCCCCCCCCCCGTATATAATTCTTGTTACAGGCCCGATGGTAAATGTAAAGCTTGTTAAAAGCTTATTTCCAGTGGGATCCGGATGTGGAATGAGGGTTACTAATCATATGATGATAAATATTCATACAATAATAGACAAATAAATTTAAAAATAGTACAAACACTATATTCTACTTAAATTAATTGAGAGTGAAAGGTTGCTTCCATTAAACAACAACATAGAGCATTAACGTGTGACAGTATTAAACACGCCATCAGTAATCAGTTATCTCAACACGTAGCCAGTGACGTTGGCAGTTTCCGAATCCTTTTGTCTAGCGGTGGCTTCTGCTTAAGTATCTTTCACTGTGACATTTTGATGTGTAATTCATCTTAATTAATTATTAAGATCTGAAAGATTCCTATTTAGTTTAAAATGGGAAGCAGTGTAATATATCTTGTACATCAATAAAACCGTTAAATATATATTTTGTCCCGATGGGTTGCACCCTTCGAGACTGTAAACACTGGTGGTCTACCTGCGCTGTTCAGGAGTGGCACTTGGCAGCTTCATCCCTTACCATGACCAATTGATTTTCTCAAGATTGAAACCCATGACATACACTCATGACACTCAATGTGATAAATAAGTGCTAATATCATATCGTTTAAGCAAACTATCCCTTGACTCCCGCTGTTGTTGTGTTAAGTGGCCAAAAGCTCCCGAGTCACCTGACATTACCTCCAACACTGAACTGGAGTAATAAAAGGTTGTGTCAACCATTACAATTCCATCAAAAATGCAGACCATAGACAAGGAAAAGGGTGAGTTAACATATGCTTTGGTAAAACTTCATCTACTGATATAAAGACTTCCAAATAAATGTTTGGGTGACCGTAGTCATACTATATTCTAGAAGGTCCTAAATATCACACACAGGTTCAGTAAATTGCATAATTTTCATATACCTTAGGAGAGAAAGGTTCTTTAAATTGAAAGATCATGAGGTAATATTAAAGGACAGTTTTTTAGGTTATACAGCCACTTAAGGAAAATCGGTAAATTTTTACTTTATGACTTAGTCCCAAGTGGTTGACCAATATGTTTTTCCAGTGTATTTTAAGCGATTCTGACCTTCATTTTTGTCGGAAATTTGGTCGTTTATTCCCCAACCCTCCCCCCCCCCAACACTAATGGGGGAGAGCCTGGGAAATCGGGGTTTTGGTGAGGGGGAGAACACAAAAACTAGTCATCGAACCTAATGTAACATAACTTAATGTAACCTTACCTAACCCCTAGGTGGGAGCTCTGCCCCCGGATCCCTGGAGTCCTAGCTTAAACTAACCTAGCCTATCCTAACCAAATGTAGCCTAACTATGCAGGAATTGGATAGCATGATAGTCTTTCTCGTAAAACTCGGCAACAAACTTAAAATAATAGTAGGAGCACAAATCACACCCAGCCTCCACCACGGCCATTATGAGACTGGTGATTGAAATTCAAATCCATACCCAGGCTGCTCCTTTTGAAAAAATTCAAATGTGATTGGTCAAAAGAAATCACGTGATGAGATCGATACGTCATTGGTCACGACTGGATGTCGTCAGTCAACATTGCGCATGCGTGATGTGAACACACTCATAATTAACTCGGTTCAAAGCAGATAATATCTCTTCACTGAGACGAAGACTGGAAACTACGTAAAATCAATTAAATTCAGTTGTGTTGCTATTTTCCATTTCCACCTGGCATATATGGGGTTCAAAATGCTCAGAATAGGGAGATATAAATGTTTTCTTAGTTTATAACTTTGGGGCACCCTATGTCCGAAAGTAAAATAAAACCGGAAAATCTTATACGGAACAAGAAAACTCATTTCATCTTTACTCTCATTTCTTACCTCAAACTTGAAACTAATCAGGTTAATATTCGTTTTTATCCCAATAGGTATTTCGGATTTTTTACCATCATCACAAGATTTGTGGTAATATTAGGTAAGGGTAGATTAAGTTAGATTAGGTTAGGTGGTAAAATTATTGTTTCGGTCATGCACCAATGTGGAATTAGTTCAGAATCATTCAGAACATATAAAAAAAAACACCGGAAAACTTAATTTCAACCTAACCTAACGTAACCTAAACTGAAAATCCAAAAATTCACTTCATGACCGAAACGATAATAATACCAGTTAGGTCACCCCCCCCCCCCCTGGATGGCAATAGGAGGTATATGGGGTAATTGTAATCTGTAATTGTAATAGATTACAATCGATTACAGTTTTTTAAGTACAGTAATTGTTATCGATTACATTCTTATTTTGGCAAAGTAATTGTAATCAATTACTGCACATACAAAATGTAATCATAATCATGATTACTTTCACAATTACAGTAGTAAGTACATACCAGTACTTTCTTTCCTTTTCTTACAATACTAAGCTCATTATTTTCAATACTGTCATCTACATTCTGTCCTTTATATGACTCGGCAAACATTAACCATCCATATTATGTCTGTAATACTCTAGCTGCTAGTAACAAAATATTGAGTCGGTACCGTTATGATCTAAACATTCGTGCTGATAACCACTGATTTACGTCTAGGCAAACACAGAATGTGCTAGCACGCAGACTTAAGCTAATCATTTTATCAATTAAGTGATGCTTAAGCAACGTTACAGTGGGAATTTATTTATTCTTATGAGATTAAATCAAACTGTTTAAGTTTAAACTACACACGAACTGGACGTGTCAACCACCTCACGGTCATCCACCCAAACGAAGAGATACCATACACCATCATATGATTTTATTTGCGTTATTGTTTTGTAAACTGATTTTGTAATACCCTGTACTGTACTTATGAGTTATAATTTTTAAATATAATGTGCATACGATATTGTTACAGACTACAGTCTTATTAATAATAATAATACAGTGGTCCCTCGGTTAACGGGCACAACTCGTTCTAGAAGGTTGCTCGTTAACCGAAAAATTCGTGAACCGAAACCATTGTTTCAATGGGTTTTCGGGAAATTGGTTCCAGCTCACCGAAAATTGCCTAAAGTCAACAAAAAAGGTAGTAAAGTACACTTACTTTGAGGTGTGTATGTAGAAGGCTCCTGGATGATGATGATGATGATTTTGATGATGGAAATTAGAATGGGGGTGGAGGAGAAGGGAGAAGAGAAGGCATTGGGGTGGAAGAGAAGTCACCCCATGGTGCCATTTTGCCCATAAAATTTTAGTTCACTTGGTGTAATTCAAGATTATTTTCTTTAAATCAACACTGCACTGCATTATATATTGTCAATATGTAAAATAAATTTCAAAATGACCAATATTTTGACTGGAAACACAGAAAAAAAGCATTTATGTTGAAGAGTCTGAAGCAAGATGTTACCTCCACTTAAAACACACAGAGACTGACGCCTGTATGGTGTGTTGACAGGCTGTTTGGCGCGCTAAAAACTAGTTTCCCTGTACTTAAATTATGTTAAATAATTTGTTAAAATGGCTAAAAATTTTAATATAAGACTTAAAATTATTGAATAGTACAAACTTCTTGATATTTACTAAAATAGTAAGGAATTTAAGCCCTAGAACCGATTACTGTATTGGCGGACTAATATGACAGCTAGTGTGCAAGCAAAAACATGTTGAGGGGTGCTCGTAAGGAATTCGTTAATCGAGGGAATGCTCGTTAACCGAAGTTAAAGAATCTTGTGGAAGATTCAGATTTTCAGATTAGCCCCCGAGGGGGCTAGTTTATTGGGCACCCCCTTACATCCTGTGCAAGGTGAAGCGCAGAAGCGTTTACAGCACCCATCTGGGAAGTATGCAAAGTTCATACTTGCCTTTATGACTCGTACATTAAGGACGTAAAAGCCTGAAGGGTCATAGGTTTTGTCAAGTTGCATAAAGTGACAGAATGATGAGTGTGTGGGGGGAAAGTTCCCGGTAAATTTCATCTGTTTATAGCAAAGTGTGGCAGGTCCCTAATAATGTCAAGTGCCAGTCCTGTCACTAGGAGGAGGGATATCTGGTCAGGGAAGGAAGAGGTGTTGGTAACAGCTGGGGACCTGTAGGAGGTGGTCATAGGGCAAGTGAGGATGTAGTGAGAGAGGGTGTGAGAGTCGGGATCTTTTGGAAGGTAATTCGTTAACCGAAATTTCGATAACCGAGGCGCTCGTTAACCGAGGGATCACTGTAATAATAATAATAATAACGGTTTATTGAAAGAACAAGGCAGCCTGCAGACTGAAAATATACAGTTACATAATTGAGGAATGGGTCACTTGATTGACAAATAATATACAAGTAACATAAGTGATATAAATCTGATACAGATAATCCGCGACTTACAACTACCCGCACATACGACCGCCGCAGTCGTATAAAATATTTTTCAAATTACGTATTTTCGAGTCCCTACGTGAGTGATCGCACTGTGTACTGACAAAATTTTCGTTTGTAATTCCCTTTAGAATGGCTGGCAAGAGTAAAAGGGAGAGTTCTCGTGGTACTGAGAAGAAAAAGAGACATCTATTTTAGATTTTCTATGTATTATTTTCGCCTTTTCGACTTACGACCAATTCGACTTACGACCTGGTCGTCAGTTCGGAACCCCATCGTAAGTTGAGGAGAGACTGTATATAATAACTAGGTGGAGAGGAAGTTATACTACAGGGCTTTTCAACATAGTGACAGTTCAAAAAGGTAAGATTGGCTGGGAGTGAATACTGTACATTGGTTGATTATGAATTGTTGATAATTTTTACAATGGTTGGGACTGGGCTGTTCTTACAGCAATCGGTACGTGCTTGTATGGGCTGGATGTGGTTGTGGTGTCGAACAGCAATTCTCGGACGAGGGATCTCGGGTGGTAGTAGGAGCCGTTGTCGAGAATGGTGCAGAATCTTCTCACCAAATTTGCAGATGAGGTCGTGGTGATGGTCAGAGAGAGCCGAGAGGGTCAGTGTGTTGAGTGTTTCTTGATATGTGGAGTAGGAAGGGGAGAGAATAATCTTGCATGCCCTCTTTTGCACTTTTTCTAGGTGTTTCCATTGTGTGGCATTTAGGGAGGAAGATCGGACAGAGGAGGCATAGGTAAGCTTGGGAAGTATGAATGTTGAGTAAACACGGAGGAGCTCGGGTGCAGGAACTCCGAGGGCCTTACCGGTAAGTCGGCGGAAGAGGTGGAGACGAAGACTGGAGGATTTGACAACTGTACTGACGTGTGTTTTCAAATTTCGTTTGTTATCTATAGTGATGCCGAGGAGCTTAGTGGAGCCCACAACCTGGAGTGTGTTCGGCCCAAAGTAATGGAGGGAGATAGGACAAGGTCGGAAGAGAGGTTGATGTGCATAACCATGGTTTTGATATGGTTGATGGTGATGTGGTTGTTGGTGGGCCAATTTTGGAGACTGGTCAATAAATTCTGAAGGGCAGTGTAGTCGTGAGCCTAGTTGTTGACACTGATCCCAATGGTGGAGTCGTCGACATATTTCCAGGGAGCAAAGGTTACTCTTAGGGCATCATTGATAAGCATAAGGCTTGATAGGTGCCAGTTTAGTGATAAAACCTTCCCTCGTCTAGTTTTCATTAAGGTCAACAAAAATGATAAGGTTTAATTTCCATAGCCCTGATCTGAGAAGGAGGAACCATTCAATATTTTCTTACTGTTATTGATGTAATATGTTCTGTACGTTTTATTTGCTTAAATTAATAGCATTAGATAATTTTTATTCTTGAAACTATCTTTGATATAATGGACACAGTATGTTTAAAAAATGAATGTTAAATTTGAAATTTACTATTATAGT